TTTCGCCGCCAGGCGCTTTTTCTTATTTTGAAAAGAAAATCAATTGCGAAATTTGGCGCCTCTTCCTCTCTTCCGCCGCCACCAGGAGCCACTGCACCAGACTAGAAAGAAACCATCTCTCTTCCACACATAGACACGCACTCAAAATCGCAGAAGAGTGCTGTTCGTATACAATGAAAATGCTTTCCCGCAAACGCCCTTCTAAATCCAATAACGCCTTCGTTCCCCCCTTCGCTCAACCCAACAAACTCCCAAAACCCGCCACCGTTACTCGCCACCACCAAACCCAGAAAGACACCAGTTCATCAGCTACACCAACAGAAGCCGAATCCGTAAGCCCATTAGACAAAATGCTATCGGTGCTAGCGGACGCCGGGTGCACACTTATCAATCCATCGGGTCCACCGTGCATCCCCTCCGATCTCCACAAGCTCCGAAACCACCTAAACCGATTGTTTTCTGGAGATTCTTCCCTCCGCGAAGAATTTCTCAAAGGATTCGCTTCTTATATTGCTTCCCCCAGTAATTTCCGCCGGTGAGTACCTCTTCTGTTTCGTTTCTGCAAGGTACAATTTCTTCCTGTACTGCATAAGTTGCTGAACAGAAAAATACTTACGGTCTAGAGACATTTTATTTCTGTATACAGTATGTGAATTGATAAATTTTTGATGCTAATGCTAAAGCTCCTTCTGTTGTATAAGTACAACAAACTTATGTCTCAGGCAGGAGAATATTCCGTCAATGTAATTTTCACCTGAGGCTGTGACAACTCAACAATGTCCGCGACGAAAATGCTTTTGTACATTTTATTTGTCTTTTTTTGAATAAAATAGTCCATTAATGTTGTAACTACCTATTCAATCACTTTGTCGTCAATTAAGTACGATTTATAATCACAAACATTGAATTTAAATATCAGCTATTGTTATTATTGTTTCATGGTTTCCTTTTTTGGGACTGGATTCTTCCGAGTTCTTTTTTTCCTTCTGATTATATTTTTCTTTGTCTGCGAAGACATAATCATAAACATGCATTTTAAAGTTTCTCTTGACAACTAGATGCCTTTTTACGACCTTAGTATTCGAGGTATTCTCAAACGGTGTTTTTCTGTAACAGTGAAATTTTTTCTGAAACTTTAGGTTTGTACCAAAAGAGACATACTTTATCACAGCCAATACCTTAGAGAATATCGGAAGCAAATGAGAGTGTGAAGGAAATTTCCTTTTTTACACCTCGGGGAAGACAAGTGCAAATGAAGACAAGGAGAAGACTAACTGTATAAATTAAAAGAGACTGAACTAAAAAAAAAATAAAATCATCTTCCTCTACATTTCCACTCTGTTTTCCACTTTCTACTTCACCAACAAATGCTAGACTTCATTTTCTTCTTGTTTTTAGTGCTTGCTAGGCAAGTAGCATATTAACTCCTCCCTATATCCAGCGTTTCATCTATTGTGCAAAGAGATAGAAATTAAAACGATTATTTAATTTTGCTACTAACCAACTTGCTCTCTTCTGAACTCTTTTTAACTTTAGGGTCTTACTACCTTCCTCTCGTGAAGGTTCGGGCTCAGTAAGAAGCGAGAGCTTGGTTCGAGTACTTTTACTGGTTCACTCCGTCCAGCAAGACCTTCTATGTATGTTGCTTGAGAAACTTCCGGAGTACTTTGACTTGTACCCTAGTGGTGGTGTTTGTGGGCCGTCGTCATCATGTCTGAACGAGGATGTAGCAAGGCTGATACTTAACCAATTCAAATGGCTTGATTTCCTGGTAGATTCTGAGGCATTTACTGAAAAACTAATGCAAGCCTTATCGATTTGTCCCCTTCTTTTGAAGAAAGAGATTATAGGGTCACTGCCTGAGATCATTGGTGACCAGAACAATAAGACCGTGATCAGTTCACTTCAGCAGATGCTTCAAGAGGACTCTTCCATAATAGTTAACGTGCTCGATTCATTCTCCAACCTCAACTTAGACAATCTTTTGCAAGACCAGGTAGCTATTTTATTAGTAGTATTTTTCAAATTATCACAAACCCGAGTTATCAACTTGTATAAATTAAAATTAGTTCTTCAATATCAAGGAATTTTTTTTCTTAAGCCCTGAAATCGAATATTCTTTTGAAACACAAGGAATAGTT